ACTGGAAAACCCACAACTATGTGGGAAAAACAAGGAAACTCCACACACATGGAGCCATGGCAGAGACTCAAACTCTGCTCCTTGGCCACAGCGGTAACCACCGCACCACCATGCCACCCTTTGACTTAAATTATTTTACTTAATTTACTATAAGTTAATACATCGTGGGAACCAATTAGTAAAATGTGCCCACAATACAGAGAATGTTTTTTTGAGCGGGGCTCCAATCAGCACCCGTCCCGTCATATTGAAATGAATAAAGCTCCTCTCAATTTGAACCAGTACGGGACGCGCTTTGTCTCCCCGCCCCAGCATATTTTGTAGTGTACAAAGTCTCGTTTTTCTTCAGATTGCAAGTGGCAACCCTAGGTTGGGTTCGACCTACAAACACACTCTTAAAAGCCTTGCATTGTAAGCAATTATTAGTGAGAGATACTAATCTAGAATATTGAGACATTCCATTAATTCGTTCCCTTGTTTTAAATAGTTGTGTCACGACCTAGTCTAGGGGAAAGGCCGTAACAAAATGGAGTGAACAGAGATGGGACAAGATGGGTGGGCGGTGAAAGCCGTGACTGGTTATGGTCATAACAGGACAGTGTACAGTGGCTACAGTAAATCCAGGTGCAGACTTCGAAGGTGGCCCACAGTCAAAATAATAAACAAAATCCCAACTGACTGTGCCAAACCCGGTTACCAATCCAGAGAGCAAAGAGAGAAAACTGATACAGTACATGAACCAGGGTCAGATGCACAGCAAAACAGCTCTTATGTAGTAGGTACGGTGACTTTTCAGTCTGCGGCAGTGGAAACCCCAGCAGTAGATGCCCAGAGTAAAGACGTGATGGAGTAGCAGAGGGTGGAGTAGCACGGGATGGAGTAGCAGGGGGTGGAGTAGCACAGGATGGAGTAGCAGGGGGTGGAGTAGCACAGGATGGAGTAGGCGATTGGCAATGGACTACAGCAATGGGAGTGGTGAAGAGCTGGAACAGAAGGGTTGGATCGGGATGGAGGGAGGGACCTGTGAGAGACCTGAGAGGCATCTCACACAGTGTAACAGTTGACATTTTATTAGTTTGTTCTGTCTGTTTGGTTAAATCATGGCCACATTTTATTTGTTCATTTGTGATATATTTAAATGTTGTCCTGATATATATAATTTTTATCGTTATATGATGACCAGGGTTTCATATGTACTATGTAATGTTGAAAATGACGCGTCATTAAAATTGCATATCTTGCTAAGTTTTGATTCCTATGACTGAGTAAAAATGTTTTAGCACAATTTTTTGATGGTTTAAATGTCACAATCCTTGCAGTGTGACAACTGCATATGCATGAAATGCCATGTCGACATTAACATCACACATTGTGCAGACAGGCTAGGCTACTCCAAGAGGCTAAACGGCGCGTATCAGTGACTAACCTCACATTATTAGGTTAGTCTGTCAAACCTGGATGTCTTCTTTTAGGAGACAGGTGCATTCTAGTTGTGCTGTGGTGATATTTAAGTTTGCAATACTGACAGACACATCCTGGGCTGTGCCCTGCGATGGGTTGGCGCCCCATCCTGGGTTGTTCCCTGTCTTGCGCCCGTAGCCTCTGGGATAGGCTCCGGACCCCCCACTACCCTGAATAGTATAAGCGATTACAGAAAATGGATGGATGGAAACTGACAGACAGCTGCATTTTCATTCATTTTTAATGTGAAGTGCTTCCACACAACAGTGGCTTCGCTCTTTATTTGGACCCACATCTGCTGGGCTCTGTCTTCCGCCGTATTGCCAAGTCATCAAGAAGGAAAAATTGTTTCATTTGTCTGTTTAATCAGTGCTTCTTTTTAAAATCAGGTAATTGAGTTTAAGTAATTGTGACAGTCATAAGAGGCCTACTATAACTTCTGCACGCAAGATTTGACTGTAACCTATCTGAACCAAGTGGACCAGAACCTTGGAGCTTGCGTGGCCAGATCCTGTTTCCTTACTCTGGAATCTCACTGTGTCTTGGCCACCAGACCATCTTAACAGGGTCACATATGCATCCTAGCAGCCAGCTTTGGTAGCTCAGTAGCTCTGTGCTTAGCACACTTGCCTCACGCCTTCACCAATGGTGCATTGAATTCCTTGCTTGCTGTTTATGTGTGTTAACATGATCAATTTAAAATGTGTCCTTTAACCTTATTTGTTACTTTCAAAGGATTATCCTTGCCTATGGCTTGTACGCTGCAAATCTGAGGTAAGATCAATAGATGAAATATTTCATCTCATAACAATGATCTTTTTATTAATTCCATTTTAACTACTGACTGCTAAGTGGGTGTGGTTACTGTGGGTCTGTTATCTGGAGGTGCTGAGAGCAAGGAAGTCAATCTTTGTTTCTAGTGTTCAAGTACAGAAAACATTCACAGTTTGATGCTTAACAGCTCCTTTATTCAACAGATGTTCCATCTCAAACATCCAACACACTTCTAATGGAGAGAGGCAGACTTGGTGGATGTAAGTGTTCACACATAATTCTGTTGTACACTTAGCTAACAGATTTAGAGAACTCAACAGAATTCATGTTTACTTTCACAGCTAAGGTACAAGATGGATCAAGCCCCTTCAGACAATTAGATAATGTACTGCAGAAAGCTGGTTCCACAACACTCTCAAAAAAAAGGATAAAAATCTGTACCTTTTTCACCCAACCTTCAGTTAATCCTACAATTAAGAACAGTCAAACTGTATTATCACCACATACCATATACACATATTAAACACAAAACACTTGATGTTTAAAAACTGTAAATTTCCTGACAAATACATTTTTTTCCCTTCAATTTTTCTTTTAGCCTGTATAGTTTTTATTGAGGCTTCCACAGGATGATCTAAATGTCATCTCATTGTATTTGTGACAATAAAGATATCACATATCTTGTACAAGAATAATTACTATTTAGAACATACCATGTAACTGTTGGCCTTCAGACAAAACACCCGGATGCATTTGTCTTCACCTCTGGTGACTTTAGTCATGTCTCCTTAGACAGGACGCTTAGTACTTTCACCTAGTTTGTGAACTGTCCCACTAAAGAAAACAAAACACTGTACTTATTGTATGCTGATGTTAAAGAAGCTTACAACTGGACACCCATTCCACCATTGGGCAGATCAGACCACAACTTGGTGCATCTCCTTCTCCTTTATGAGCCAGCCACTGTCAGAGCTGTAAGGGGGATGGTCAACGGCAGCCTGTGCATCTCTGCAAGACTGTTTTGAATCAACTGACTAGTATGCTCTTTGTGAGCCTCATGGAGAGGACATAAATGGTGTCACGGACTGTGTCTCAGAATGCATTAGTTTCTGTGTGGAAAATACTGTGCCTCAAAAATCCATACGCTGCTTCCCCAACAACAGCTCAAAGGCCGTCTGAATGAGAAGAAGAGAGCTTTCATTTCTGGACACAGGGAAGCAGTTAAAAGGGTACAGAAGCAGCTGTCTGTGAAGATAAAGGAAGGGGGGAGCAGATGCAGGAAGAAACTGTAGATAAAATGCAGCAGAACAACAGGTATATAGGGCCAAAATACCCAAATGCCAGAGAATCGAGGGTGACAGGGAGGGGGCCAACGAGATTAACTAGTTCTTTAACAGGTTTGACAACTGGCCTTAACCAAACCCACCATGTAGCCCCACCTCTGCCACTAAAAATGCACCCCTTGGTACCGCCATCAGCCTCGCCTATCCTGCTCACTGCTCCTTCCCTCACCTGTCGTCACAAGTGAATGGCGGTGTCAAATCAGCACTTCCCCCCACCTTAACAGCCGAACACACCTATCACCATCACTGAGGACCTAGTCAAGAAAGAACTATGCGGACTTCATTCTATTAAGGTGTTGGGCCCTGATGGCATCAGCCCACAGGTGCTGAAGATCTGCGCCTCCCAGCTCAGTAGCGTTCTTCTCAGAATCTTCAACATGACTGACTCTCCAAAATGTGCTAGTACTATGGAAAACATCCTGTCTGGAAGCTGGTACCAAAGAAGACATGCCCTTGTGCCCCATTTGATTACAGGCCTCTGGCACCCACCTCACACTGCGTGAAAGTTTTTGAGTGCCTGGTCCTTTATATCCTCCACTCCCTAGTAAGATTGGCACTCGACCCCTTTCAGTTTGCCTACCAGGAGAAGATTGGGGTTAAGGATGCTATCATCTACCTACTACATGCTCCACTGAATGCCACAGGAAATCCTCTGACTAGCAGGAAGTGACTAGCAGTAAGTGCTCCACTGAACGCCATGAGAAATCCTCTGACTAGCAGGAAGTGCTCCACTGAACGCCATGAGAAATCCTCTGATTAGCAGGGAGTGACTAGCAGGAAGTGCTCCACTGAACGCCATGGGAAATCCTCTGACTAGCAGGAAGTGCTCCACTGAACGCCACAGGAAATCCTCTGACTAGCAGGGAGTGACTAGCAGGAAGTGCTCCACTGAACACCATGGGAAATCCTCTGACTAGCAGGAAGTGCTCCACTGAACACCACAGGAAATCCTACCCCCGCGCAGCCATCAGCCTCTGTAACTCTACAAGATACATCCTACCAAATACCTCCACTGTACAGCTGTTTTTAGCTAATTTACCCCTTATCCTTTATAAGGGACTAGTTACATAATAGTATACAGTAGATTGAAAACAGATTATATATCTTTTTTCCTAAAGAGTTATACTGTATTTTATTTGATACCTATTATGTGTTTTATATTTTAAATTGAATTTAATTCTATTTAATTCCTGTTGGTGATATCACTTTTCCTTCCTGCTATATATAGTGCTCATCGTTTTCAATGGTGTCCGATTATCTGTACAGTTGTAGCAGAAGCAATTTCTCTATAGGATCTATTAAGTTTTTTTTTTCTGATTCTGCTTCAGTCCGCTCATTTAATCTAAGTAGAAGATGTCTTGGTTTACTTGTATAGCCCAGGTCGGAAAATCCATTACCTTACTGTATTCTTCTGCCCTTTAGCCAGAGGGAAGATCTCTCCAGAAAGAGGAGCTGGAATGTTTTGTCTCCTGAGAGGTAGGTGTCTCACTCCTTTGAAGTTGTCACTTTCTACAAGTGACATCAATCAACAATGGGTTAAAATTCTTACATTTTAGCAGTAACGTGAACCTGTAGTACATGCACATACCATGTGCCTTATCCTGGCAGGTAATGAATATTCTCTCCTTCAGGTTACTATACAAACAGCCCAGTGCGACAAGGGGGTAAGTAAAGATAATGGTTTCTTATATACCATTATACCTTAACAAATACTGTAAGTGCTTACCTGAATGGCTATTACGTAAGTCCTTGGATCAGGCAGGCTAAATCCATCCATTTACTGAAACTGCTTATCCTATTCAGGGTTGTGGGGGGGTCTGGAGCCTATCCTGGAGGCTATGGGCACAAGGCAGGATGAGGCACCAACCCATTGCAGGGCACATACATACACACACACACCTATGGGCAATTTGGTAACTCCAATTAGCCTCAACATGTTTTCGGACTGTGGGGGGAAGACCAAAGTACCCAGTGGAAACCCCTCCTCCAACAACATGGGGAGAACATGCAAACCCGGCAC